CAGGGTGATGACCAGCAGCTATTTCCATTTTATAAGAAACTGAGCAGTCTTAGTGGGGTGAAATGCTGAGTACATGCCTGACTTCCAGTTCCAGTGAGTTCCTAACCGTGTTTGCCTGATGGGTTCGTTGACCAGGGTGGCCTTAGCGGAGCGACTCGTACATTTAAAGCTAAGTGCTCTGTTTTATGGGGAGTTTAATGTCTGCAGACAAAGTTGTAACTGCATAGTTTCTGGTCAAACTATGCTTACTTAGCAAAGATGGAAAAGGCTTCAGTCTCCTAAACTAAATATGTACTAAATTTCCACACACTTTAATGTCAGATGATCTGCCAAAGAACTAATTTGTGCAAAAAAAGCATTAGTGTTCAAAACTCCACGTCCTGTCAAACAGCTCTTAAAAAGTGTTTTCACCATATGTATTTAACTGATGCTGTGTTTACATGTTGCCCAGCTGACACAGCTGTGAGGAAAGGGCTATTCCCAGAAATGCTAAGCTGACAGTCAACAGTGTCCTAGTAAAAAAATAATGGTATAGGTAAACAGTAGGGTGGTCAGTGGGGTTAGGAAATAGGTTAAATACAGATCTTTGCGTGGTATTGAAGCAGGGCAGGAAAGCTGATTTTTGTCTTTGCTATCAATGCTGACAACATTTAAAGCTTCTTCCCTCTGGAAAAAAAAGTCACTTTTAAGTATTGAGCCTCCTATTCAGGGCCAACATGGCATGTTATTGGGCTTGTGCAGTGCACGTCGTTCCACAGTAGAAGGCTTCTAATGCTCACAGCATAGATGAAGCCTGGAATATAAAAGACATACTTACACAATAGAGTGTGGGTTTGGTGGCTTCTGCCCGTAGTACGTGTACGGAGCTGTTAAGCTGCAGAGCTGACATGTGAACTCTCCTGTAGGCTGAACTTCTTTGGGAGCGTTCATCTTTAAGCTGCCTACAAGAAACAGAAATCTTTTAGCTCTAAAATGCAATATGGAGAACACGCCTGCAAGAAGATTAAACTGCAGTGGGACGTCTGGCTACGCAAATTAAAATCTAATGGAAAACTGACTATTGCAAACCTCAATTAGGAAATCCTTTCTCCCAAATCTAGTTGGTTTCCCATGTGCCAGTTAGATTTCCCAATTTCTTAGATAGGTTTAGAAACTGCAGCCTGGGAGCCTAAATAAAAAGTTCACCTATTAATTTGGAACTTGATCCATAGAATTTAGTTAATGAAGTACATGGCTGTGATCTGGAAAACCCTTTGCTCAACCGAGGCCTACGCTCCCTAAATGCTTCCCAGGAAAGGACTCCCCACCTGCTGTGCAGAACCCCAATCCCGTTCTGCAACGCCTGTCTCCTCCCACAAACTGCAAATGGAGCCCTGAAAGGCTTTGGGACCCCGCTTGGTTGGCATTACCAGAAAGGTAGGTGTTGCAATGACTTCCTACATCTTTTTCTTTGGTACTGGTTCACCTTCAAATAGAGTTTTGGAAGCTTAACCCTGGCTCCCTGTCCTTATCTGGCTTCTTATGGAAATGAAGCTGATGCAACCACCCTGTGCCTCGATAGAGTGTTGGCCCATTCAAGCCACACAGGACAGAGGAGGAGGCACCTTTAAAAAATGTAGGTCCTATCGTTACTGACTGTTATTGATTTGTTATTGAGTTGATGGTTTTGGTGATTTTGGTAAGGAATATTAGGACTAATCAATTAAATGGAATCTCACAGAAATATCATTTATTTATAAAAGAGAGTGGTGTAATGTTTTAAATAGTCATAGGGATGCTGTGTTTAAAATAACCATACAACCAGTTATGCTGCCAGACGAGGTACCACTGTTAGACTGTTTGGTAAGGATGATTTATTACCCTGCAGACCAGGTGTTCTGAAAGTTGTGAAAGGGCCTCGATGCACATTAAAATCACAATGTGAGCCAAAGTCCTTGAGTCAAGGGTGTTGGAGGGTCTTTCTTTTAGGTCAGTAGTCCATGGTGGTCACAAAAGCAGCCCCCTGACTCATTTCGGGACTCGTGTATGACAGGAAAGAGGTGGGAATAAGAAACTGAGTGATGGGAGTTATCATGCTCATGTATGAGAACGTGATTAATATGTATGACTGTATCCTCTGTAATCAGCATGCTCCACGAGTTAGGTGTACGTTGGTGGTGAGACGACTCCCCTGCACACCCGGCCATTAATTAAGGAGTGTCTGCTTATCTGCATCAAACTGGTGTCGATAAGTTCTTTTATCCCTTTTTGGTGACACTATCACTTTTATGAAAATAGGCAGAAGAGGGAGACTCTGCTTCATCCTCATGGAGGATACCCATGTATTTCTATAAATCTGAGAATCTGTACGTAAGAAAGCTAATGTCCATCTGTCTGAAAGACTTCAGACCCCCATTACAAAGGTGGATAACCTAAAGTTATATCAGTCACGAGATACAAAATGCAGGCAGCCATGCTTCATCAGCTTTGGTGCTTACCGGATGACTTGTTTAAAATCTTGGCCATTGATTTACATTCAGGAGCTCACCCTTCACTAGTACCACTTTAGTTAAGGGTCACACCCTGACTTCTTCAGAAAGCACAGTGTGGTGATTATGCTTTTAGGACAGATTTTGGTACGTGTGCGTGATCAGATCAAACACAACTCACTGTGTGCCCGCCCCAAAACTGCACCAATCCATGAATGAACTGTAATCTCTTCTTTGCAAATTGGGTATCTTTGCTCACCTGTACCATTTTCCTGAACAGACATATTTCACCTTGCAGTTAGCAAGAAAACTCAAGCTTTTAGCTAAAAGCCCTCATGCTTTTCATGGCATGCAGTTTTCTGCTATAAAGCTGACAGCTTTTTAAAGCAAAGCAGAGCTGCTGTCAAGCTGTGAGGAAGGTGAGCACAAGGAACTCGGATTTGGGCAACCACTCAGCAGTTAGTTTGTGTGTGCTCACAGCTGAGCAGATGCACAACCTGCCAAAGGACAGCAGGTCATTCCCACTCCTCTAGCTTTGCAGCTATACCCTTCTCCTGCAGAGCTGATTCACAGAATCATCTCAGCTGAGAAAGACCATGAAGCTCCTCCAGCCCAACCATGACCCTCCCCCTGACCGTTCCCAACTCCCCCAGATCCCTCAGCGCTGGCTCAGCCCGACTCTTCAACCCCTCCAGGGATCCCGGGGACTCCCCCCTGCCCTGGGCAGCCCATTCCAACGCCCAACAGCCCCTTCTGCACAGAAATCCTTCCTCAGAGCTAGCCTGACCCTGCCCTGGGCAGCTTGAGGCCATTCCCTCGGGGCCTGGCGCTGGCTCCTTGGCTCCAGAGACTCATCCCCCCTCTCTGCCCCCTCCTGGCAGGGAGTTGCAGAGGGCCAGGAGGTCTCCCCTCAGCCTCCTCTTCTCCAGACTGAACCCCCCCAGTTCCCCCAGCCGCTCCCCAGCAGACCTGTGCTCCAGACCCTGCCCCAGCTCCGTTGCCCTTCTCTGGCCACACTCGAGTCATTCAATGGTCTTTTTGGGGTGAGGGGCCCAAAACTGAACCCACTCATCGAGGGGTGGCCTCACCAGTGCCGAGCCCAGGGCTCAGATCCCTTCCCTGTCCCTGCTGGCCATGCCAGTGCTGACACAAGCCAGGATGCCATTGGCCTTCTTGGCTACCTGGGCACACTGCTGGCTCCTGTTCAGCCAGCTTCAGTTCACTAAAGCCATGTCTCTATGTTTTAGCTCAGCTCAGAGGTTTTCTTTGAGAACAAATTCCCTGATTGTCCCCACTTAACACTCCTGGTTTGCACTGTGGAGCAGTCTGAAAGCACACAAACAGGACAGCTTCAGATGAAATTAATGTGAAAGATGTGCTCCAGAATAAAAGCATACCTAATGCACTCTAACCTGAATGCCCAACTAAAGGCCATGCAGTCTACAGGCTAGGACCAGAGGTAACCTGAAACATGCTGAAACATAGAGAAGTGGGCAGCTGGTATCCAACATCAAACACCTTGGTCTGTGGTTTCAGTCCTCCTGCATCATGTTGGTTACTAATGTAGTAAAAAAAAAAAACCCAAAACAAACAAACAAACAAACAAAAAACCCCAAACCAAACCCACCTTTAAAAAAAAAAAATCTTCCAATGTCTTTTTCTCTTGTTTTAGGGAACTAAATTGGCTTGCAGAGGAATACAACAACTGCTAACAGTAGTACAAGGTAAGAGGCGGAACTGCACAGCAAGGAGAAAGGGAGGGTTGAGATGAGGGACCTGTATTTCCCTTTCAATGACACTAAGCTGCTATTTCTGCACACCCTATGTGGTGAAACTGAATCCTTAGAGCCACATGCTGCTAAGGTGAATTAGGGGCAAGGTGAAGCAGAGTTGTGATTACTTGTCATCTTATGTTCCAGAAGAACAGGGAGCCCCAAGATCCTCAGAGTTTTCAGAAGCTTCATAACAGACATGCAGTTCAGATAGCCTTAGCCTGTTAAATCCTGAAACTTAATTTTAAGTACAATCCCCCTTATCTCATCATTCACCACCAGCTTTCCACTCATTCCTGGCATTTCAGTAGTACAGGGAGTTCTTCAAATGTAACACAAATGGGGCTAGATACTGGCTTAATAAATAAATCCAACTTGTGAATACCTTAGGCAGCTACATTTTTTCGGAAGTGATGTAACCCTTGGGATATCATGTATTTTCCCTACCTCAGAGAGATGCTTGAGAGAATTTAATTAACTAATGCTTTCAGATTTTTCCGTTAAATATAAGGCATGTACATTGCTAGCTATTTCTCCCTCTATATTAAAAGTGGGGTTCTTCAAACTATACACAAACTCACCAAGTCTGCTTTTTGAACCCTGCATTTTAGTATTACCAGATAAATCCCCCAGACATACCTAAATTTACCTTTGCTGTAGGTAGTCAGTAGCAATACCAGACACCCACCCGTCTGCAGGAGATTCAGTCCAGAACACTATGTGCAATTTTTTGCAATCAATCTTTTTTAAAAAGGGGAAATAATTAACCCCGCAAAGGTAGAGTACAGAAAGTCACTTGAATCAAATAGAGAAGATTCTCATGGTGTTATTTTCTTAAAAATAATGCAAAACACAAAGAACAACAACAACCAAAAAAAAAAAAAGGGTATTTATGGCAGGGAGGATCATAGACTTTGGAATGAACATGTCCTGATTCCAAGTCAAAATAACAGCGCTGGGTTCAGAGCTGAAGTACGTTAGATATAGAAACACCTGCTCTCTTATAGACCACTGGCATGTAGAACAGAATCTGTTCAGTGACTACCACTGGGAAGGAATGACATCTATGTACAAACAGATTTTTGGCTATGGCAGTTGAAAAGCATATGATCCTGCCTGCAAGGCACAGATGAATTTATGATGCTTTCCATTTTACTCCCACCTTACAAGTCACTGGTATCAGCTGTACCAAGTTTTGTCTCACTGGGAACATCATTTGTCCTGAGAGCTTGTCCACACAGCAGCATTTGGCAGAGTTAAGGTCACTAACTCAAGGTGTGAAGTTAATGAACATATTTCAGAGTGAATGCTCCCATTTAGAAATTTGTTATATAACAAAGTAAAGCTGTTTTCCTTCCGAAGAAAGAAATTCAATGGCCAATGTAACAAACTTTTAGTTTATGCATGTGCTTCACACCCTTAGTCTAAAGCTGCAAGCAGACAAGTCCTAAGATGCCTTCTCTCACAAAGCTTCTAGTACTTCCACAAAGCTCGTATGCAATCTTTATGTCAGACAGCAAATGCACAGAAGTGATTCAGGGGTGAAAGCAGAGTCGAGACAGACACTGGTTTATGGGACAGTGAGCTCATCGGTTTGGGCCTATCCACCACCTCAGCAAGATATAATACCTGCTATGATAACTGGGACAGCGTGACTGCCTCCCCTCCAAGCAGGCATACGAAGCACGAGTGAGAACTTGT